TATATCTCTATGTGAATTTAAATAGATAAAGATGCATTATATTCTATGAAATTCCCTAGTTTACATAGAAAATTAAGTCCACTTATCACTAATGCTGCACAAATCACGTTGTCCATCTCTGGCTTTTGTTCAATTCATGGTATATATTACTAAAAGCTATTGCATAAAATCTCCTCTCAGTCTCAATTATGCTCTTCAAATCAGTTTTAATGGTGGCCAATCATCAAAAAGCATTAAGAACAATAATATATACTCTATATGAAATAATAACCCTTGAAAATATAAAAATCATGAAATTCTATATTAAATTGATCAGGTTACATGTAGCCTTAGATGGCAAAATTAGTTCATACTAAACATGGTAAAATCTAAAATTAAATTGATGAACCACAATTCCATATCCAAACAAAGGAAAAATAAGTCTAGAAGAGCAAAAACCCAATTTGTAGAACTTAGATCTGTAGCCTGAAGTGTCCCCAGCGGTTGCCCATGCATCTGCCGTCACTCACACAGAATCTGCGCAAGCTCTGCCTCAAACTCACCTTCAAACTCTCTGCCGGCTGCTTCTCTGATTTCTTCTCGGAAGTCCTCTCCCCGAAATCTTCAGTGGCTGCCCCCTTTTTATATTCAACAATGTGCTCTACCTTTTAAAACTCCATGTGCCCTTTCTCTTTTAAAGCCCATCTTTATCTCCTTGTGGAGATAAAGCCCACCATGTTTTGCCACGTGTATGCAGAAGACAATTTCAATTCTGGTCTTTGAATGGGAAAATGATGGAATCAGACTTGGTGTTTTCAGCTTTTGTCACTTCAGCCCATTTACTTTAGTTTTACCCTCTACCTACAAAGAATGATAAAAGCAATGTAAAACCAAATAAAATCATTCCAATAAAATATAAAAGACTACAATTCATGACTAAAAAGCCATGTATAATTGTATGAAATTTAGGCTATGGAGGTTGAAGAATATAAGAAGAGTTTGAATTTTGAAGAGTTAGAGTCTTGGAAAGTATTAGGGCAAGCAAGAATCGGAAAGGTCGTAAGATGAGTTATGAGTGGAGTGAGATTATTTTTACTTCTAGAAGATGATGAGTCAAGAGAATCAATTAGTTAATTAGGGAATATTAGTCAATTATTAGAGGTTTAGGTGGGATTGGGAATTGGAAATTGGAAAACAAAATAAATAACTAATAAATTAAAAAAATTTTATATTTTTAAACGGGTAAACGGGTCAAACCTGTTAACCCGATAGGTCAACTCGTTATTGACCCGTGACCCGTTGGGTTCTCTTAACGGGTCATTAATGGGTCACAGGTTATAAATATATGATCCTAACTCGTTTTAAACTGGTGGGTAATGAGCGGGTTAATAGGTTGGGTAAAAAATTTCCAGGTCTATTTCCAATTTAATATAAAACAGAGCCTGATAGTGTAATTTTCAATGAAAAAAATGCTGTCTGGACAGATCTACATGAACTATATTCACAACAGTATGTTCAATGTATATTTGAAATT